GAGCACTTCTAGACGGCCAACCACTGACATGATTATACCGACGGTAGTGCCAGAAGCAAATGTAGTCGACCAAGGAAGCGATATGAATGAACCTCAATCAATGGCAAATACAACCGCATTCCATGAATTATCTGTAATACAAATCCCAGGCGATGAAACAATTCAACGATTTGCATCGATTGTGAGCAAAAACATTGGTGAGAACAATGTCAGAGCATCGCTTGGAGCAATACTCGGCAACGAATCAATGTCCGCAAAATTTGACGAGCCCCAAGCCACTCTTACGAATGGAAATGGCATGAGTGAAGATGACATGCGAAATAGCATAGCGGTCAATGGAATGTCGAAGGGAGTGATGACAAACGATCAACCAGATACAGCCATCAGTGAATATGACGAAATTATTGTAACGAATGCCTCAGAATTGGAGACGATACACGCCGATCGACCAAATAATCTACCGGTTGTTGATTTGACAATTGAAAATGTTAAAGCACAAAAAGTAAACAATCAGAAGGAGAAAAATCAAGTGAAGACGAATCAACGAAAGAGAAAAATTGCTGAGGCATCGACATTGAATGGGAATTCAAAGAAAAAACGGAAGATTGAACCGCGTTTGACACAGAAAACCATTCCGGAGTCGACTTCAGGTAAGAATTTTGATTGTGGGGTGTGAAAATTTCAGTTTAGTTATGAATTTTGTTACTCGCACACAGAATCGCCGTTGATTGATGTGACGTCAAAAGGAAGAAAGAGTTCGAAACAATCAAAGGGAGTACATGTTCCGCCAAATCAACGGAATGAAACCAAATCAACCGACGCTGAACATCAGAAAGGATCGACATCAAACGGAAAATCCAACACAAAATGTGAATTTTGTAATTATGTGGCCTATCCGTCACAGTTGATAGTACATAGACGCATTCACACTGGCGAGAAACCATTTATATGCAAAATTTGTGCGAAAGGATTTACTAGAACATATGTTCTGAAAACGCACATGCGAACTCACGCAAATAAATTTCCATTCCATTGCTCGATTTGTCGACAAGGATTCGCGGTGAAATGGGAAAAGGAGACGCACGAGAAAAATTGTAATCAACGGCGATTTGAATGTTA